TACATAGTAACATCAGCAACTAAAGATCTTGAAGACTTTAATCTAGTGACATTATAAATGCCATTAATGCTCTGGAAAATTCTCTGCTTTTTGTTAGTAACGTGTTGACTACCATCTAACCTGAGTGGGACTATTAGCTGGCTCAATATCATCAGTTCCTTTATAATTTCTATGCATGAGATTTTCTTGATAAAAAACAGGAGAGGTTTACCATTGCCTTATTCTGAAATTATGCTTTTGAAATTGTTATTAAAGTGAACTTGTGCCTACAGCATCTTCCTATATCACTGCTGCCTCATATAGATGCCTGCTTGGTTTAGTTGGGCAGCTGGGATAATCTTCAAGCTTTGGGTGACCCTGTTTGACTTATATAGCCTTGGCATACACTCCTGGAATTCTTCAGTCATCCTTCCCAACAATACCTCCCGCCATTCCTCTTAAGTCAGCACAGCAAGATGATCAATAGAAATACAGTTTCCAAATTATAGAATGGAAGTATGGATTGCACTCTAATATACACAGGCTAAACCTCATGTAAAGTGCTTTTCTTTTGGGCAGAACACTTGTGTGTTTGTGACAAATTGGGAAATATGCAAATAGAGCAATGAAGATTATCAGAAGCTGGACAGAAAGTTATATGAACAAAAGAAAGTAGATAAGTCAACCTTGAGGAAAGAAGACTGGATTGAAGGAAAATAGACTATTCAAGAAGCTGAAGAGATGTGATACAGAAGAAGCCTGTGACTTGCTCTCTATGGTCATGGAATGCAGATCATGGAATAATAATCTTGAGTTCTAAGTCAGCAGAATGCTGAAAACCCTCTCCTTATTATATGAGCAATTATATAATGGGACCAATTACTAAATAATAAAAGTGCCTTCACTGAACGTGTTCAAGCAGAAGCTGGCCAACCATTTGTTTGTGATTGTTTAATTGTCTTCTTGTACTAAGTGGTATCCTTTGAAATATTTATTTTTCTGATTCTATCAAGAAATCCTGGAAATGAATAAAATCCCATTCTAAGATAAGGGAAATAAGAATTTTAGAATGACAGAATTTGTCTGACATTAAAATACTAAAGAATTTCTGAAGTTTTTGTAATCTAATCTGTTTTCAGAATGACATACATAAATGGAAGACTATAGAGGGATGTGTCCAAACTTTTGGCTTGCCCGAGCTGCATTGAGTGAAGAGGAATTTTCTTGGGCTGCATATAAAACATGTAATATAGTTAATGTAAATAAATGTGAGAGAGACCTTGGAATCCTAGCGGACGATCACTTGATTATTAGCCAGCAGTGTGCAGCAGCAGCCAAAAAAGCTAATACAATCCTGGTTTGCATAAACAGAGGCATAGAATCAAGATCATGTGAAGTATTAGTACTGCTTTATAAAACCCTAGTGGGACCACACCTGGAATATTGCAACCAGTTTTGGTCATCATACTACAAAAAAGATGTTGGAAAAAGTTCAGAGAGGAGCAACTAAAATGAGCAAAGGTCTGGAGACTAAAACATATGAAGAACGGCTGCAGGACTTGGGTTTGGCTAGTCTAAAGAAAAGAAGAAACAGGGGCGACATGATAGCAGTATTCCAGTATTTGAAACAAGAAACAATGGTTGGAAACTGACCAAAGAGAGAAGCAACCTGGAATTAAAGAGAAACTTCCTAACAGTGAGGACAGTTAACCAGTGGAACAGCTTGCCTTCAGAAATCGTGGACGCTCCATCACTGGAGGTTTTAAAGAAGAGATTAGACAGTCATTTGTCTGAAATGGTATAAGTTCTCCTGCTTGAGCAGGGGGCTGGACTAGAAGACCTTCAAGGTCCCTTCCAGCTCCTATCCTATCCTATCCTATTTGCACATAATGATGTTAAAAGTGTACAATCTTGTAGGGCTACATTACTTACTAGCTGTCTAGGACTGCATGTGGCCCTTGGTTTGTGGGTTGGACATGCCTGCTCTAGGCCAAGATGTTAAAAAAGCCAATTATTCATTTCTTCTGTGAAGTACTATCAAAAATTAATTACATTTAGTCAATATTTGTGCAAACAGCTTTAAATTCATCAATGGCTTAATGCCATCCTGCTTGTAAATTTTTATCCACAAAGCTCTGCCAAGCAACATGTCTCATTATTGACTCATTAAAGCAGCTATATCAGTAACTGCACACTTAAAACAGCTGTCTGTTTTTTTCAGGCTCACAAGGAAGCCTGAAAAAAAAGAAAAATTACTTTAATAATATTTAGAGACATGGTGCTCATGTGAGGTCCAAAGCACTTCTTTTCAATAATTTTTGAAACATCAGCAACCCTAAAATATAACAGTCTTTCCATAGAAATACATATTATGAATCTGATGAAATGGATTGCTGAGATTTGAGGACGATCTGGCTGCAATATCTGTTATCCCATTGATTGTGAGTATTAATTCAGCCGATCTGGCTGGGTAGGTGCGTGTCCCTTCCTCACCACTCCATGTGTGTCCCTCCCAAAGGTGCATGCTCAGTGGAAGAGGACAACCATCCCAGATAAGAAGACTATACTGATCTTCATCAAGGATATCATAGTTGCTCTCCTTTGCTGGAACCGCCAAACAAGCTCAAGGTCCAACGTTTGTTAGAGTCATATGGATTACTAGATACTTTGTGCCATATAATTGAATTATTCTGGCAAGATAGAAGGGGATTCCTACAGTTAGATAAATATTAACAACAAAAGGTTTATTTCCAATGGAAGTTTCAGACAGATTTTGGTTAAGAAATGCCACATCCTGACCAAGAAATAGAAAGATGTTCAAATTTAACAGCATTTTCTTCTACTTTTGCTTAACTCTTTGGCATGAAAATTACATAGCTCCTCATCTTGGTCATAAACCTTGTTCTGATGATTTGAAGCCTATCCACCTTCCTCCCAATGCTATCATAATCACTTTAAGTAATGGAAGAAATTATTAGAAATCATTAGTTACACATTTCCTGTCCATACAAATAAAAATTCCAACCCATAAATATATGGAATGAATTAAATTATAGTTAGTCATTCTTCTTTTAATGAGTACATAATATTTAAATTAGTCCATATATCTCTGTATTGGTATTTGTATTTGTATCAACAGGAGATGTGTAACTGTCAAAAACTAAGTAGAAAACTCATATGAGTATGAAGACTAAATGATTATTAGAAATCTGTCATGAATGAAAGTCTGTTTCTCCATTTTGAAATTCAGACACAAGAGGTCACTGTTTCCTAAGGAAAATTTAAGCGAAACTGCAAATCCAGAGCCCCTCCCTTAAAGGGACCAACATTCCTGCCAGCCAGTTCCAAAGCAGGAACATCAAAAAAC